TTACCACCCCACATTCTTACACTGTGACTACATTAAAATTTTTTTGAAAATCTTTATAGATTCAGTTGAACGTTTATAAATAACAAATTAGATAACATATTAACATATATTTCATATGATTTATAAAAACAAAAGCACGGTTTCTGGAGCGTATAGCATTTCTTTTTAATTTTTGCTGGTAATATACAACTTTTCATTGAAGCTTCTCAACGTGTAAATTGATTTTTAACCCGTTTAATATCACTTGGAACGATCCACTTGATCTTGTTTGATTTTAAGCAGGATGAATTAACAAATCGAAACTTATGTTTTGTAACTTCATCAGATGTGCTGATATTATTTCTGATTAGGTGCTCAATATGGTGCCAATGGAAACCATACTCAAATAACGAGGCTTAGCGAAAGGCGATTGTTTTTAAAGGTCCGGAGAAACTAAAGCGAACAAGGGAATTGTTTGCACAAAAACAATTTGTAATTCATAATCATTAATCATGAGGAGAGGTTTTCAGAAGCGCTCAAAACTTTTTGAACATTTCGTCGGTCTGGTTTTATTTTAATTTCAATTTTTTTAACTGTTGAAACAATTCGGTTGTGATATATGAATGTTTATAAAATTATAATAAACAAATTATCTTTTGGTCTTAATCTAGTAAATTTTTAACTTTTCTGCGATTCAATGGTATTTCCTATACTTTTTATTTTGTTTAACTTTGCAACTTTTCCCCCGATATTCGCAGTCTTTTCGAACAATTTGTTCTTGTTTTACTACGTCGAGTCCCGCTTCAACTTTTCCAGTGGGAACAGCAATATTTGTTTCATACTTCTCTTCAATTTTTAGTGAAGTTTTTTTTAGTGAAATCCGAAGGGTATTATTTTTTATTATTTAATACACTAGTTTATTTTTTTTTTAAATTTTTCCAGATATTCTTATCCTTCCTTGTCGTATCGTTATCCCCTTTATATCAACTGGAATGGTTTCAATAGATTTGTATATCTCATTGTAAGTTGGCGTAGGCTGTTTGGAAGTTTTTGTTGTCTAATAATCTTTCAATTTTTTTATATATTTTTTATATTTTTTTTCTTAACCGGAACTAAATATATTTTTGTCAAGTTCGAAGCAGCTCTCGTACAAATATACTTGTCTATATCGTTGAGTGTCGATATCGGCCTTCATGATAAATATTAAAATAAAGAGATCAGGGATGAAGCCATGTAGGTGAAAAAAACCACTTCTTTTTCTGCTGTCGAGCTTTCGACTGTATTTAACGCCTTCCTCAGGACACTGGAATAATAACGATAAATCTACAACTTACTTGAATTTGTGAAAAAATGGTTATGTTTTTTTAAATAATTTTTTCAAGTAAGTTGTTGATTTATCATTATAATTTATATATGTATATCGTAGCGTAACATTGATTGTAATGAAATAGTATCCTGAGGAAGGCGTTAAATACAGTCGAAAGCTCGACAGAAGAAAAAGAAGTGGTTTTTTTCACCTACATGGCTTCATCCCTGATCTCTTTATTTCAATATTATACTTGTCTATAAGGTATTTACCTTGTAAAATCTATGCATTTCTTTTATTCAAAGATAGTTTTATATTTAGTTCCTTTGTAATTTTATTTTAGTAATTGTATCAATTTAATATAGAAATTATATGGTAAAATCAGAAATCTTTGACATAAAATTTAGGATGGACATAATATGATCTAGGTCAAACATTTTCAAAATCAAAATTTATAACCGTGATATCTAATTTTGTTAAACCACATGTTTTCGCAAAGCCACTTCACGCTCTCGACAAATCGATTAACTTCACCTGCGTACATACTTTCACCAAAATAAATAAATTACTTTCCATTGGGAAATTCATTTTCACAACAACTGTAAAATCCCTGTGGTTTTGTTTGAGTTTTGTTATTAATTGTATAGTTGTTCGATGTTTAATCGATTTAAAACTCATGAATTGAATCCCACCAAAGTGATTTACGCTTTTTCCGACCAACAAATATCTAAAGCGCTAACATAAATTCTCTTATCGTCACATTTTCACATGTCAACAATAATTAAGAATTATTTTTCAAAAAGCTTGGCCTTTTCCAGCCATTCTGATCTATTTATCTTTTTGAATGAAATATCATTCAGAAATCGGCCACATCGCAAGGAACATTTAAAAACATAACATACATACATGTCGCAGTAAACGTAGTCACTGCATATTATATTAAGGATTAAAAATAAATAATTATAGAAAATCGAGAAAAAATTCAAGCAATTTGTTTGGTTTTAGCGTAAAATCTTATTACCAATTTTCAAGGGGGTTTATGTCAAAGAAAAGAGTTTATGTCGATTAATGTCGATTATTACATTGTCCGATGCAGACAGTCCTGTACTTTCTCATATTTATCTGGACAACTTAAACAGTTGAAAAATTTGGTTGAGTATTATCAGTTACAAAAAATGTTTAACCACCAAGAAACTGGGATTAAAAACATTACAAATACGATGATAAGGATGGGGTTTGGTAGTCCCAAGGCACTGCTTCCTTTTGGCTTATTGTGTGTTTCCTAGATACTTCGGTCTGTTCAATAGATTCAATCCTTCTTTTAAGAAGTTTTAGGACATTGTTCAAATTATGTTTTCCTGGGTCTTCTTGGTATCCTATGTTAAGTCTCAATTTAGCGGTTGCTTCGCATTAGAACATAATATCAATGGCTGTTTCATCCTTCTGATTGCTTAACTTAAAAATCGGGTTATCGTTTTCTCAGATGCGAGTGATCAGTATATAACACCCTATCACTCCGTTTTGTTTTATCCTGTCTAACTTTAGCAACGTGTCAGTTTTGGTGATGGTATCTTAATAAGTCATTGAGTAAAACGCTCAAAATTTAATTGTGCGGAAGTTTTGTATTTTCTTATTTTTTAACGGCTTTTAAAGTAACAAAAGTTTTATTACTATTATAAGCTTTATTAAGAGTATTAATGAGAAACTTGCTTGTTTTTCACCTATAACTGGTAACGTTTGCCCATTGGGAGGAAATTAATCGTGTTGTTCGTCAGACCGTCCTGAACTTTCTCATTTTTATCTGGTGGTGGATATATGAGAAGGGATAGATCATTAAGGATAGACAAATTCAAAGGATCTATAAGTTCATGATAGACAAGTCCTGTTTAAAAATGAAAAAGTCGACTTTTTTCTACATCGTAAAAACAAAAAGAAGAAAACTCGTTTATTATGCCCTAGAAGAAATTCTCACTTAAGAACACGGCATAATTTTCACTATATTTAATTAAAATTATTTCCAAGAAAATTAAATTTAAGTACTGAAAATAAACTAAACAATAGAATAGAAAGGTAAGATAAGAGCAATTTATAAGCAGTGCGCAATTTCAATTTACTACGATTAATAAATAGCATATAAAAATAGAAATAGAAATAAATAAACAAAAGTAACGATTGTTTAGTAGAAGAAAATGGAAGAATTAGTAGAAAAAAGAATCGTTTAAAAGAAAAAGACAAAAAACCATAACATTATCTTATATTAGTGAAATGAGAAAAATTGTAAATTTAGAAAAAAGTTTGTTTTTGTAAAAGTTAAACCGATTTAACTGTTGAAGTTAGTCAGGCTGTTAAAGTTAAACAAATTTAACAAAAATATTCAGCGAATCATTAAAAAATGTGAAAATAGATTATTTTAAAACTATCTTAAACAGAAGACATTTGAAAATAGTTGGATATTTTGAATTTTTTTCTCCTATGGGAAATTTGTTTTTGATTTTTGCTGACAGTGTTGAGGAAAGGATTTTGGAGAAACGTTGTATTTAGTGAAAAATGCGAATGAAAAATTACATACTTCGAACAATTTTAGGTGTCGAATATAAATTACTGACAGGTGTACTTGATTGAAGATTTATGCCGATTGGAAGTTAATTAATCATGTTGTACTTTCGATTCGAGCAGTCGTTTACTTTCTCATTTTTATCTGATGCGGTATGTTTCGAGAACATAGCTTTAAAACGGGAAAGCTCGTGATGGACCAATTCTGTTTACGATTTGAAAAATTGTAGGTCTATTTTAGGCATTTTTTAAATTTTTAAACATGTTGTCCCGGAAACATAAATCTTTGAACTCGGCAAATGTAAAAACAGAAATTTTTCTACGTATAATATACACATTTATTAAAATGATGAAGTACTTCGTACTACTTTAGGTTTGATTATAAAATACTGAAAGGTGTTTATTGAAGATTTATGCCGATTAGAAGTTAATTAATCATATTCTTCTTACGATATAGGCAATCATGTAATTTTGATTCATGCGATTTTGCATATTTTAAGGAGAATTTGTGAATCGAATTTCACGAAATAAAAAATGCAGTTTTGAACTAAAAGATATAAAACAATTTACCTGGGGGAAAATATTTCTTTGTTGTAATTATATATATTTAGAAACGGTTTTCTCTACAGACATATTGAGTAACATGCACAAAAGGTAACTAACTGTCCAATAGGTAATTTGGTGTGATTATAATCTACTGACAGGTTTGCAATTTTGATCCATATTTCTGGAAGTATTAACAAAAATTTTTTTTTCTTTTTTTATTTACTGCCTATTTTTAGTATTTAATAGTAGAGTTGAGTTATGCATTAATTAAAAGCGTAGGATATTTAAAAATGGCATAATTTGCATGCATATTGAACTGGAACTGGGTGTAAGAAATTGTAAAGATTCTCGCATGTCTATAGGCGGATTCGTTTCCCAAAAGGGTTATCGATTTCCTCGAGTTTTGAATGTTTAATATAACGATTGTTCATAAGGTCAAATGATTTGTAGAATCGTATATTCATAAAAAACAACTGAGGGTCCGTAACTTTTATACACTCTGGGAACTTTTGTCTGCTAATGATTATCGGGGCAATTAGGTACACATTTGGCACTTGAAGCGCATGTGCGTCCCCCGAGATGGAGCGACAAAGCAGTGGGAGGTTAGGGAACTTCAGAGACAGTTCACCAGTAGTGTCTCTCACGCTATGCTCCTTAGACCCAGTTAACAACATCGGAATGATGCCGTTCAATAAATCCAATCGTACAAAAATACACTCGATTACGTACCGTTTCTCCGAATTTCCGTCTTTGGAGGAAACCTTTTAAATTGCCGCCGACGGGAGACTATACGCATTTATTTACTACAGTCCGACGAATACAAACAAAACCATATTTGGAAAGATAGATGAAAGAAATTTTGCCAGTCAAAAATTTGGGACGATGGAACGCATGCCGGTGGGGAGCTTCTCGCCTCGAGCTGTAATACCTGGCTAAAACCCGGTAACAACTCTTATGGACTGGTCCAATATTTCGGACACTGTTAAAAGTCTCTCAGTACTCCTGAGACGGAAGATGGAGAGTCCGACAAGATCCAACAGAAATCCAGAGCCCGCCGAGCCGAGTCCCACGTACTCTTTACCATCTCAGCCGTCGCCGAGAGCGCAGCAGCCGCTGAACAAGAGGGAATCGGCGCGAATTCAACTCGACGGAGCGACTTACACGATAGGTAGGACTAAAGATTATTGTCTCGATTTTATTTTCTTATTAGGATTTTGAACAACCAGCCTGGACAGACTCAATTACAGGTAAACGATAGAAAGTTCTCGCTTTTGGGTGATGGCTTGCTAAAATTTTTGCAGAAACCATCAGATCAGGTACGACAAAAAAATCGACAATATTGCAAGCAATGAGCCAGTTTGTATTAATTTAAAAAATGAAAATACACCCAAAAACTGCTCAAAATTATATTATATAAATAAAAAATTAATAAACTATCAACATCCCAAAATATCTTCATGCTTTCGAATTCCTTTCTTTTCCTGCTTCGATCTCTTCCTTTTAAACATTATTTGACCAATTTAGATGTCGATGAAACCCATTGGCGTTTATCTATACGATGGGACGTCCTAGGTCAGAATGGGATCAATGCTAGCGCTGTAAAGGTCAGAGACAATTCAATGAGTGCTTATTGTGTTGGACAGTGCCCGATCTTATATTCGTTTGATATATTTTTGATGATGAAAATCCTCGATAGGATCGCTTTGCCGGATGAGCTCTTCAGGTGCTTATCGACTAGAGCATAAATTGTTACCGCCACGTGATGAGCGTTTGTATATCAAAAATTTAATTCAGTCTGCTTAACGTCGATCCGTTCGAAATGGGGAAAAGTTGAGAGTATATATCATCTTTTCAATGGGTTTCTACGCAATTTAGGTGAAATATACACACTTTTATTTTAAAATGGATTTTTTTTGTTTTCTTATATATAGCAAACTGTTTTCAAATTGTCACATACCTATGAGTTTTAGTCTTGTTTTCTGTTATTCGTTTTTTAAACATTGATTTAGGCAATTGAGAATTCAATCGATCAACGTGGAACGACCGACATTTTTAGAAATAGTTTATTAAGGTTGTCTTTCCTTGTATTTGGCCTTTATTCATCGTTGTACTACTCCCACACACATTGGTAAACTTTCGTTCTATTTTATAGTTTTTGTAGTTTTATCGTTGCTGATCATTTTGCTTTGTCTGTATTTGATGTTTCGCTCTGTCAGATCGTAACGGCTTCTTGCAATCTTCAGCAGTGAATCTGTATATTATTTTGTTATACATTATTACACAAGGTGATATATGTTTTGTCCAATATTTGTTACACTGTTGGTATTTAAATAATGTTAGTTGAGCTTACTTGATGTTACTTGACGATTTAAACAAGTCATTCTGAGTCTGATTTATTTACTTTGAAGCATCAATCTTAAAATGTACTCATTTTTACTTGATAAAAGTACTTACGTGCATTTCACTTTTGAAGAAGCATTTAATTTTTTTGTTTTTATATTTACTAAGTTTTTAATGTTTATCGTTATTTTTATTACTACGCACTACGTTTTTCTTCCAGCCGTTCTATATTTGTTTCGGTTTAATTATTGAAAACCGATTTATACGTCATATTTTCGTCATTGACTCTCGTGACTCTAAATTGAACGGAAATGTGTCAATTGGTAAGAAGCTCGCCGGGAAAGTTAAATTGGATTTCTTTGCCCACTTACTAGACAAATGCACAAACGATTATAATAAATAAGTACGTTAAAATGATCATATGTTCTGATCCGAAAAAAAAGTACGAGACTTTTTTGTTTAATCGTGATGATTGAACCTAGCCGGTGTTTTGCTTCGCTAGTGATGACCAAAAAGGACGACGGTGACTATTAATAGGTCGCCTTTCAGAATCATCCTTAACGCCTGGTTTAATAATTACTTCAAAGACGAGGTATAGCCAAAATTAGAAAACGGAAAAATTACTCTAAAGACGTTTGTACCACGGATCGATGAATCAGGAAGGACTTTTACCGTATTTCAACGGCACTGGCCACGAATTTACTACTTTTATTATTTTCATTAAACTCCACGATGAAAAAGATTTCAAAGATCGATCAGTCAAGTACAAACATACTACAGTGTGTTAACACTGTAGTATCACAGTTTAATTATCATTTGGTGAAGGATTAAAGTTGATTTCTTGCCGAGCTGTGAAAAACTTTTCAAGTGTCGATAAGGTAAATAGATAAGAAGGAACAACTCGGCGAAAGATAATAATAATATTATGTGGAAACTGTTCAATAACGTCCTTACACAGCGTTAGAAATGTTAAAAAATAATTGTTTCATGATTACTATACAAACAGTGCCAAAAAATAAACACCACGGAAGAAAATTCTAGGAAGTCAAGATAGAAACCGTGTAGTTGAATTTTAATGCTCTCTTTTATGCTCGTTATTTAACCATGACATTACTGGGAATACAAAATTAATACATTAACTACCGATTATCCTTAGGATGGAAAGTACACTTGATGTACATATTGGTACTAAATATTGAACAATAATTTGCGAGTTTATGCGAAAGCTTTTATTAGAAGATTGACCGCAGGACAAATTATGAGCTAAATGTTTAGTCCTGTCTAGCACTTTGAGAGAACACTATATACGCATAAGGGGAGCGCAACATTTTGCATAATGGTCTCTCCTACCATAGAAACTAAACTAAAACAACCTTAATAATTTCCCACAATTTCCATCATTATGCTGTATTTTCCTTGGCTGAGATGATTTTACCCCACGACCTTTTCTTTTTTTAAACAGTTCCTTTCGTTTTTAACATACCGGCAAATCAATCGACCCGCCCACATATAAAATATTTTACGTCATTAACTGCCATCAAAAAAGTAAAATATGTACCAAATACGATAAGAAGCGCGAGAGGAGTGGACTAAAGGATCATTACATATTATATATTGATATTACAAGAAGAATATGGTGAATACGTATATCGTAGTTGCAAAGAGATGGATATGTCGTTGAGTCGATCTTTCGACGAGATTGGCTTTAGCGATAAAAAAACTAATCTTCACATTTCAAAACAACGTTTATTAACTGATTAAAATTCACAGATGAGATATCCAAGTCCTTTCCATAACAATCTAACCAAAGTCTAGCCCATAGGTCTCCATTTTTGCAGCCAACAACTGTCGCATTCCAAATTCAACTTTTAACTCATCTTGACTAACTCTAAACTCTAAACTATTACTGACTCATGACAAACTGGGTACTCAAATCCACTCCACTACTGACTCACAAATGATTATCCTTTTGGTAGCACTGACCTAATGGCAAATAACTAAGAGCTAACAATATAAGAGCTCTACATGGCAACTACCAACATTTTGTATTTCTTGAGCTTTTCTTTGGAGTGGATTCTCGAGCGTCCAAAGAAGATTCCACATAAGATTCATCGACTTTTACATGTCCTCATTTTCATTGTTCAATACAGTTAGTAAATTAATTATTAATTAGTTATACAAATAATTAGGTATACAAAAAATAGTCTTCTCACGACGTTTTTAAATAACCAAGCAATTATTGAACCTGGGTGGATTTGACGAAAGTCCTGAATATAAAGCAAAGTTGTTAACAAATCTTTCAAATAGGGTATTTTTCAAATGATCACTTGACATGAATGGTCGGTAACGACTAAATACAGATTCATCACCCCGCAGATCGCAAAGAGAAATCTCACAAAATGCGGTTTCCTGTCCAAATATCGTTAAATTAAGACAACATTTATAAACGAATGATATTACAAGGCTACGACTGGCGACGTGATAAATTAATATTAAATTTGAATCTTAGTATTAAATTTATAAATATTATTGATCCTCAATCTTTGACTATGCGAATTTTATTTTTGATTATTATTTCAATGGAAATGTTCATTAATTTATTTCATTATTATTCCTACTATTTTAGGCACGTTTTATAAATCAGTTTAAGTCATTTTGCTCATTTTTTAGTTCTATTTTGATGTATATTGAATTTTTATCTCCTAACTACTTTTTAACACATACAAATACAACAATACAAATAAATTTTATGTAATAAATATTTAAGCCATAGTATTGCACCCTTGTTCAAAATTGGAATTCGTTAACACCATATGATCACCAAATTATAATTAACATACACAAAAATGTTAGAGAAATTACATAATAGCTAGGTGTTAAAATGATTTGCTGGGCAACCACTTGATTATAGCCAAATTCATAAAGAGATGGATTTAATTTGAGAGAGTAGCTAACTGTTGGGGGTAAATAAATTTCAGTGTGACTAGGGTTCAGTTAAAAAATTATGAAACATTTTATACAACCGTGTATATATCCAACCACACGAAAGATGATGGATGAAGGAATCGTGTTGGATTTTGATTGGTTAGTTCAATAGTGTTTCAACGCTGGAGAAATGAATAGGACTATTTCAATAACTAATTGATATGTGTATATAAATAAAGTAAAATAAGTCCTGATATACAAGAAGGCTATAAGTCCACCTACCCGTCGGCTGTCGCGGACGAAGGGTCAACTTCTTTACGATACATTTTTCATATTATTTTCAATTGAAATGCCATGGAATGTGCCAGGATTTGAACTCAGAACCATAAATACGAGTCGGAAGACCTAACCATACGGCCAACGCGGTACCCTTCGATACATGTATATCGAAATTTTTTTCATAAATAAATAAAATTATTAATACACTCCTTCCAGATAGAGATATTACTAGGAAGGAGAAAGATAATTCTAAGGCCTAGTACGCACTGGGATTCTTTGAGTCGACTCTTTGAATCTCCGGAGAGTTTCGGCTGCGTCTAGCCTGAGTCCGGGCTGCCCCGACTCATTGTTGCGATGAATCTGGTGTGTTGCGGGCTAGCATTTTCGGACTCTTTTGAATCCCATCCGGTGCGGACGTGAATCGGAACAAGCGCTTTATTTAGTTGACATTGTAGTGTTTTCTTGAAGATTTTGACAGTTGACATTACAGTTTATTGAAGACATGCATTCCCATCGGTGTTTGTGGGATGTATCATTTACGGAATACAGAAATCGGGAATTGAAAAGCCAAACATTGAACGTTTTGGTCCAAAAAACGATGAATGATGGCTTTGCACACTTCTG